AACCGGGGGTCGAGTGGTGCAGCGGTGCGGTCTGCGAAGCTGCACTCCATGCAGGCATTGGCCTTCTTGATGGCGTCGTCTAGGCCTTTTACGTTGTCGCCCCCTGCGTGGGTGGGAGCGGGGGGAATCCACGTTGTAAGGTCACCGATGGGGTCGAATGCCTTATCGATTTGAAGCAGCGCTCTCTTGCCCAAGTTGGTCCCTTGGAAGCGGACCCATAGTTTGGCGAGCCTACCGTACTCCGAGAGCTCCCTCAGGTGAGCTCCTGCGGCGGTGCCGAACATCCTTCCATCTCCGATTATGACCACGTTGGAGGTGGCACATGTGATTGCGACGTTCACTCTGTTGGGATTGTCCATGAAGCCCCAGCCGTGCCAGAAGTTGGATCGTGTGGTCAGGCATATAACTAGGTCAGACTCCCCACCCTGGCTGGAATCTATGGTGGAGATGGCGAGTCTGCCGTTGGTTAAGTGTTCTTCCGCAACTTGACGCAGCCCCGGGAAGCGTGGGCCGATTCCGGCGAGGGGGGAACTCCATTGTTCGAACACGCGCTCGTGTCCCCTGAAGTCGTCGTCGCGTTCGGGGGGGAGTGTGGCGTGGTCGCTAGTCTGGGCTGTTCCACCTTTGCCGCTTCCTTTCTCCTTGGTCTTGGTCTGCCCCAGGGCGCCGCTGATGCTACGTCCTGTCTGGGGCCAGCCGTTCTCAAGGACGGCATATTGCAACTGGTAGCCGACCACGACGCGCATTGTGGTACCCTTTCCCATGGCAGGAGCGCACGCACGATGTCCACTTTCTGGGCGGCCTCTGGGAGGTTAGCGTATCCGGAGTGGAGCTTGGACGAGACCTCGAGGGAGGGGTTGTCAACCAGGAAAAACCGATGCCTCTCCTCTGGACGCTGGGGAGTAGGCTGGAGGCCCCTCAGTAACTTTTCCAAGTCCTCCGAGGTGGTGGCAGTGGTTTTGGCCAGGTCTTCGAGTCTCGCACTGTCCCAGGGCAGTATCTCCCGCCACGGTAGCCCTTCTACCGGCGGTCTTTGTCTGAAGGGGTCGGTGAGACCTGTCCGCGTCGACTTGTTGTAGAAGACCACGTTGGGCCAGGACAGGGGAAGGGGGCGCATGCGGTAGCAGAGGCTCAGTTGCACCACTGCTGTGGTGTCCTCACGCAACGCGTTGTATAGCCGGTCGAATATCGAGAGGCACAGCCCCCGGTCGGCTGCCTTTCTGGAGAGGACGGTGGGGGGGAGTTGTTGGGGATCGCCAACCAGCACCAGGCGCCCGCCTGAGCGCATGACGCTGTCGAGAGACATTGCGGCCATCAGTTCGTGGGCTTGCCCTGTCTCATCGATAATGAGCAGGGCTACTGGTGCAGCGAGTTTGAGTGACTCTGCCGCCTCGTGCGCGGCGATGATCGTCTTTGCGTCTCTCAGCAGCTGCGCGCGGAAGGCGACGAACTCCTTGGAGGGTCCGCTCTGGTGTGGGGGACGGTTGTGTGTTCTGTGAAAATGTCCACCTGGTGTGAGTGGGGCCAGCTTCTGCGCAACTCGTAAGTCTTTGGCCAGTCTGACGCGCCTGTTGGGGAAGCAAGTCCCGTCAGCCAGTCTGCCTGCATCGTGCGCGTCCCCTAGGCCGATGGCAGGTTGGTCGGCAGCTGTGTTCGATCCTGCAGTCAGCGCCACCGCCTGTCCATTGGGGAGGGAGCTTGCCCACGTGTCCATGGTGGCGACTGAAAAAAAAACCGTTTTGCCAGAGCCTGGGGGGCCATGGACCACCGTGACGTGGTGCTGTATGGTGGCAACGAGGGCCTTCGTCGCATCCTTGTTGAGTCGGTGACGCTTGGCGCCATCATCCAGAGCGGTGATTGGGGGGAGGTTTCTGACCCGCTGAAATACCTGACCCGTAGCGCTGTCAACTTCCACGTCGGAGAAAGGGGTGTCTGCTGACCCTTCGCTCGGCTGCTGTTGTTCTGCCGTGCTGTCACTCTCGTTTGCGGGGGGTGGGCCAGATGCCTGGGCTCTGATGGTGGCCCTCGCCCGCGAGAGGAGGGAGTTGCCGCATGTCCTGGTATTTTCTACGTCGTTGGCCCGCACCCTGTCCTTTCTGTCGGTGGCGCGGTGGTAGAGAAAGAAGGAGATGACGTCGAGCGGTGCGCCCACCAGGTCGCCTGGGGCCTGTTGTAGCTTGTAGATCTCGCTGATGACACTAGAAATCCGCCAGTATTGCAACTTGGGGGGAGCTTCGTCCACTCCGTCCAATACGTCGCCCACCGTGTCTGGCTTCGCGTGCGTCCCTTCGGTGAGAAACTCCCCAGCCTGCCCGTTGTCGCACCAGGCCAGGGCTTGGTTGGTGGGGTACTTGGTTCCTGTTCGTATTCCCATGACTTCGCACTCGTTGGGGGGAATGGTGCCTCCGAAGTCTGGACGCCATATGAGTTTGAGGGAGGCAATATGGTCTGCCGTTGGACTGGTGATGCTGAGAAGCAGCGTCCGTGCCTCTTGTCCCCCTCCAACCCTCGGAGCAGAATCTTGAACTCAATCGGCCATTGCAGGTGCAGCAGCACCTTTCCATCCTGGGGGTGGAGTGCGTTGCGGAGCTTGTGTTTGTCGAGGAGCATGCAGGGGGAACGTTCGTTGATGGGGGTGACCGACACGGCCAGGGCGCAGCTCTTCCTTCGTGCCAAGTCTGTTCTGGCCTTCGCGGAGCCGACCCATACTGTTTCTGTGGCAGCCATGCACTCGGTCCAGGCAAGTCTGTTCAGGGCGAAGCCTCTTTGTCGAAGATCCTGCTCCCAGTGTTTTGGGAGGTTGACCCCAGTGGGAACCGACCCCAAGGGGGTGTGCAGGCGGAATTGGGCACCTGGGCTGCTGTCGGGTAGGGCGTAGAGTCGGGTGATGGCGTTCGCTGCTGCAGCTGCAGGTGACTCCGTGGTTGTCTGGCCGTCCTGGGGGGGAAAAACGCTTGTCCAGTCGTCGCCAACTCCGCGCAGTGGGCCTGCCCGATCTGATGGGTCCTGTGATGAGGCCCTGCTGGAGTCGGCGTGTATCTCCCTCGGGATCGGTGAGGCGGAGGGCCCCCCTGATGCGGCAAGGTTCGGGGGAAGCGGGTCAGTGCCTCCCCAGGCTCCGGTTGTGCGCCATGGGGTGACCCCCCAGCCCTCCCGGTACTGGCTGGGCGGCCGCAGGCCAGTCGAGTGTACGGCGTCGGTGGAAATGGAGAAGTTGAACTTGTCATCACGGAAGGGGAAGTTGACTGGTACGTGGTCCCAGTCTTCGGGGAAGGTCCAGCCTGGTAGATATGCCTATGTGCCGTCCTTGACTGGGGCCGGTAGATCCCAGCCTGGCCATTTGCGTCTGGCGATGGTGTGTCCAGTAACCCTGTCCACGTTCTTTCCCAATGTCCTGGTCCAGAGATTGCCTTGCTCAGTGGTCATCCTGGGGTCTGGCCACCAGGTCTCCTTCTGCTTACTAGCCTCTGTGGCATGGTCCCCTCCCAGGAGGTGCTCCTTGCCTTCACAGTACGTTTGGCGCACCTCACACCACCAGCACCACTCGTGATCGAAATGTGCCCATCTGAGCCATGGGCATTCCCGCGCGCGGAAGGGACGGAGAGCGCCCGTTGCGCCAGGGCCTTGCTCGCTGGGTTCGGTGGGGGAGGGCCATCTGGCCAGTGGCCCGTTGTTGCACTTCTCCTTTTTTGGCATCCTGGTGGAGCGCAGGTGGGAAGTGCAGCCGATAGCTGCGTAGCTGGCAAATGAGTGTGCGGGGGGAAAGCTTGAGCCGCCACAGCGAAGACCTCAGTTGTCGCGTAGATCGGCCGATCGACGATCAGATTGGGGCGGGGCGTAGGTGGAGGAGGAGGGGGGGTGTTCAAGCAGGTGCGCAGCCTCAGCCGCCCCGATGGGGTCGCAAAGGTTGGTCTCCCATAGATTGATGTTGGGAAAGTGCGCCGGCTGGGAGGGGGCGTCCCTGGGTGGGGTTCACTTCGCTCGGGAGCTCCCGAGCGAAGTGAACCCCACCCTTCCCCTCAGAAATCGTGGGGGGTAGGGGTAGGGTTCGCTCGTGGCCCCCTAGCTTCGATGTGCGCGCCCTCAGCTCGCGAATGTCTGTGTGCCGCTGGGAGCTTGCGAGGCCGCGTGCAGCATGCACGCCAGGACCGGCCTCGCGCACTCCGCAGGGCGCCCGCGCGCGGCTTTCTCCGAGGGCGACGGGAGACACGATGCAGCCGCGCTCCGAGGACCACGACGGCCTCCAGTGGGTGCGGGCAAGATTTGGATCCATATCCACTGCGTCGTGGACTCTCTGGAGAGGGGCGCCAAGAAGCCGAGGCGCAGCGGGCGTGGGTAGGAATATAGCCTCTGCAGGGGCCTGATAGTTTCCACATCAACTGCGCTTCGGGTGTCTGGGGAAGGTGGCCCGAAACTCCAAGATGCAGTGGATATGGATACAAATGTTGCCCGCATTGGATAGATCCCTCACGAACCTCGTGTCCCATGGACCTCCAGAAGCGTCCCACTGAGTCCTGAAGACGGTCCAATGGAGCCTCGATGAGGTTCACCTCTCAAGCACGTCGCACTACATTGACCTCCCGAGGGACCTCAGCTGGCCCTCAAGACGCCTGAAAAGGATCCAGAATTCGACGCCTCTCACGCACTTCGTCTCATGGGCCCCCAGATGTCCTCTGGTTCCAAGACTGCCAGCCCCCCAAGGGACGCCAGGATGGCCCCCAAAGCAATTGCAACGATCGGTACCGACACTCGTCGACGCCGTGCCCCCAGCCACACACTACTAGCAATATCTGCGAGATAATTCCCCCCTGGGACTGGGGGCCCGTCGTGACTCCCGCTCTGTGGGCTCAGTGACTGATGGTTCACGCGGGGCGCAGCACACCGGCCTATGAATGGAAGCCTTAACCAACTCCACAGGCACAAGAGAAGTGTTGCGGGGTGTGTTTTTCTGCATCCTGGAACGCATGGACGGTGGGCTGGTTAGACGCACCCGTCATATCCTCGCGCTGTGTATTGGGCTCTGCGCCGTTCGCTATGATGGTGGCCTCGTCGACCGTGGGTGTCCTGGCGATCTGCTCCGCAATGCCTCTACTACCCTGCCCCAAGAAGGGGGCGGCGAGCCAGTAGTGCTCCAGGGTCGGATACAGCACGCCGCCGACGTTGACCGGGGTCGGATGCTGATGGGCCAGGGGCTCCCGCTCGGTGTTGTTGAAAGTGTGCACCGCGTCGGACGTCAGGTCCACCGAACCCTCTGGGAGTCCATCGCCCGCCTCGATCACGACCTCCACCATCTCGCAGTCGTAGGCGAAGTCGTCGTCGTGCTCCACCTCGCCGCAGTGGGCCGCGAAGGCCTCGTTGTCGTCCAGGATGGCGCCGCAGCCCCCGCACTTGATCTTCTTGGCGCGCCGCTGGCTCGCCCTCCTCGCGGCCTCCTCGTTGTGCGCGACGGCCACCTGCAGGGCGGTGGCCTCCCGCGAGGCATCGCCCGAGGCCAGCTTCGCCTGCTGCTCCGCCACGGACACCTTTACCAGTTTGAAACATATCCCTATCCCTATGTTTGACATCACCTCACCTCGATGCCGATCTTAAGGATTCCCTCAGTTTCTGAGGGCCTATCCCTAAGATTGCCCTCGCTTTTTGCTCGCCCATCGTAGAGATAGGGATAAGTTCAAGGCTGGTTACACCTCCGGGCCCGGGCCGAACACCAGGGGGTCGTAGTGCTGCCCCGTGTACAGCAGCATGACGCGGCCCGTGCAGCCAGGGATCTCGGCTCCGTAGTACAGCACGCGCAGAGACTGGCAGCAGACGACAGCCACCTCGAGCCTGTAGTGCCTCGCGAGCACCAGGACCTCGTTCTCGCCGCCCCAATGGAACTCGTTCCGGATCCATGTGGCGTACTCGCCAACGCTATCGAAACCGAGCATCAGGGCGCGGGTCGCCGGGTCCGGGTCCTCCAGCGCGTCCTTCCGAGACTGGCGAACTCAGACCAGATGCACCCCGACCACCCTGCAGGAGTGCCCCAACCAGCGCACGCGTGCAAATCCTGGCGATGCGCCTGCGGCGCACCGCGCACGACAGAGCGCCGTGCGCTGCTGCGGGGTCGTCAACTGCTTCAGGTGGCCGGTCCTGATCCCCCTTCCGTCACATCAGCGACCAAGAATCACCCCTTCAACCCCTCAGCCTGGCCGGTGGTGGATACGCACGCCGGCGCACAATTGGGCTCACGCAAGGCCTGACAGTGCACACAGGTTTTTGCACAGCACGCATTACGTGGGCATACCTCCCATAAAAAACAGAGCCCACACAACTCCAGCTGGTCAGCTTTACTTCCGAGTGCTTCCGCCGACACGTCTACCCAATTTCGCTTCTGCCGAGTTGAGCAAATATTGCGCTGACACCCGCCGAGGAGAAGTCGGACCTTCGACTTCTCCTCGACGAAGCTCGTTTCGGAACGCCCTGAGAGGCGGCGAGGGGTAGTTCTCTCTCCCTCCCTCTCTCGTTCTATGTCTCCTCTTTCTCTCTCTCTCTCTCTCTCTCGCTTGCTCGCTCTCCTTGTCTCTCCGCCCCCCAAGCCCTCTCTCCCTCTCTGCACGTACGTAAGCCTACCTAGTGAGATACAGGACTACTGAGCCCCGCGCGCGGGAAGTGCAGGAAACACTTTACGAAGTGAATGGCGATTCATCCGCTCTCCTGCATTTGTCACCAAACATACCCACCTCCCTGTGTGCAGCCAGAGAGACGCTGGAGCCAGAAAAGCGTCATGCCAACATGTGAAGAGCCGATTGGGCGTTGTCGGCGCTACCCTCGCTGTCTGCATTCCTGCGGGAGGAAAACATGAACTGAGGCCTCCGCCAAGCACGCGTCCTTCATTTCAGTACCCATGTTGCGTGTAGAGTCGCAGCCGAGCTTATTGCGAGTTAGGCAGCGGTTTCTTGTGTGCTGTGCATGGGGAGGTTCCTTTTTTCCGAATGATCTCTCATGTCTTCGTTCCTGTTTTTGTCAGTCTCCACCAGCTGCAACCCCTGATACAGTCAACCCGTATCATAAAGATGCGGGGTCAGGATGCGAGGGCCTAGGAGGCCCATGCGAACGTTTTTCGAACGGGGCGCGGCCAGCGAAAGTGGCCAAGGATGGACTGAGGCAACGATGCAAGGATACCCTTGGGAAAGAGGGGGAGGAGGAAGAGAAGGAGGAGGAGGAGGACGAGGAGGAGGAGGAGGAGGTTGCCCGTCCTTATTACGCGGGTTGACTGTACCCTTTTGTACATCTGGGACGCGCAAACATGGATTAGCGATCCATGGATTTGGCGCGCGGTCGCCAAATCCATGGATCGGGTGACGTACCCTCCCCCAAATGCGGCCGGTGCCGCCACGTTCGGCGGCGAAAATCCGCGATTCCCCATGGAAACGGGACCCGTCGCTAATCCACGCCCCCTTGATCCATGTTTGCGATCGCCTGAATTTTGTACAGCAATGCAGCGTCCACCAGCGGGTCGCGGGGCCTGCAGGCGGCGGAGGCAATAGCGACGTCTGCCTCCGTTGCTGCCATGTCAGAGAGCAGAAGGTCCACCCCGATAAGAACCACCCCGACACGCGAGGCCTTCAGCAAACGCGCCCAGAGAAGAAATCGACCAGGGCAGGGCTGTTCAGTAAACGCCCAGGGCCGTTTAGTAAACGGCAATTGTCCAGTCCGGGTGGTTTTGGAGGCCTGGAGATGAGCACCAACACCAACACAGGGGGGAGCCTCCACAGGGGGAAGATGATCATAGATTTCGGTGTTGGTGGTAATGATTCGGCCACCTTGGAAGCCAGAATACTACCACCATCACCGAGATCGGAATATCCTACCCTGGGTGGAGGCACACCGCGATTTTGGTGTTGGTGTCAACCTCCAGGCCTGCGAGACTTTTCCTCCCTTGACTTATGTTGTTCCCATCCCACTTAAGGACCACATCCCAGAAATAATTTCGAGCACCACGAAAAGTGTCAAAAGAGTGTCGAAGCAGTGTCGAAACAGTGTCGGGCGAATGTCTCCCAGGGCCCGACACGTGAAAACCCTTGAGTTTCGGCACTTTGTTTCGGCCGCTCGAAATTATTCCTGGTGGTTTTCAAGGGCTCCCAACTTCGCTCTTCGCGCTGCGCGAAGCGCGAAGTGCGAATAACTTCGCGCCGCCTCCCAGAGGGGGAAGAGGAAGACGAGGAGGAATCGGAACCGAACCGCGAAGCGCGAAGCGCGCATAACCTCGCGCCCTCGAGGGCGCCCTTGGACTTCGGTGTTGGTGTCAACCTCCAGGCCTGCGAGGCTTCTCCTCCCTTGACGCGCGCCTCCCCGAGCGAGTGTCGGGCGAGTGTCTCCCAGGGCCCGACATGTGAAAGCCCTTGAGTTTCGGTACCTGTTTTGGCCGCTCGAGATTCTCCCTGGTGATCAAGGCTAAAGTAGGTTGGAGCATCATATTCCTAGGGCACTGTCGCCCACCAGCCATTTCCTGGATGGGGGGCTGCTCAGGGGTGCTCTTCGAATTCAGGGAGATCTCAGTGGCGCCCCGTGCATCCTCTGGGCTCTTCCCCCATCCCCGGAACTCGAATCCAACGGCGTCGGCACGGGGGGCGAAAAGGATGAGGACGAGGAGGACGAGGTGGACGAGGAGGACCAAGAGGACGAGGAGGACGAGGAGGACGAAGAGGAGGAGGGAGGACGAGGAGGACGAGGAGGACGAGGACGACGAGGAGGACGAGGAGGACGAGGAGGGAGGACGAGGAGGACGAGGAGGACGAGGAGGACGAGGAGGGAGGACGAGGAGGACGAGGAAGACGAAGAGGACGAGGAGGGAGGACGAGGAGGACGAGGGGGACGAAGAGGACGAGGAGGACGTGGACGAGGTTGGGGCATCATAACCCTTGACGCGTGCCTCCCCTCGGCCCTCGCGCCGCCCTCTGCGGGCAGGCCTCAGCCTCGGTCGCCCGCGCCGCCCGCCCGCCCGGCCAGAAGGGCGCCTGCGAGGAGGAGGGGGGGGGAGGAGGAGGAAGGGGGAGGAGGAGGAGGAGGAGGAGGAGGAGGAGGAGGAGGAGGCCGAGGCCGAGGCCGAGGGCGTTTGGGGAGGAGGAGGAGGGGGAGGAGAATGAGGAGGAGGAGGAGGAGGAGGCGGAGCGTCCACAGAGGTCCCTTGGTCAATCTACCCTTGGCCCCTCACCCGCCGCCCGCTCGAGCGCCTCCACTCGCCCATCGGCAGGTCGGTGGCGAGGCGAGCAGCGCGAGCGATGAGGAGAGAGGATGGCGGGTCGGGCGCGGACGAGCCAGGGGCTCGTCGCCTCGCATGCAGCAGGCGGTGGAAGTGATAAAGAATGACAATCTGACGCAGACGCACCAGCGAGCATTCCGACAGAGCAAGACGGTCAGAGAGGGAGGCAGGGAGGGAGAGACGGGAGACCATAGCGACATTCCAGAGAAATCGACGGCAATCGATGTAGTGAGATAGGCTATCTCGGGCGCGTTCGCACCCGAGCAGGCAGCCTTGGTCGGCATTCCTTAGTCTTGTGTCAGTGACCCACCCCCCTGTCCAAGTGCGGATGGCGGCCATCCGCCAGGAGGGGGGGGCCGTGGCGAGCATTGAATTAATGGCGGCCCAGTCGAAGGTCGCTGAGGTCTCGATGGAGATCGAGAACCACTTGACGAGACGGAGACGCAGGCAGGCGATAAGATAACGAGGAGGGGAGGAAGGGGCACAAGGGGGAGACAGGTAAATCGCAGGACGGATACCTCTCAAGAGAGCTCGCTGCACTTTGAGTTTTGGGCCACCTTTGCCAGCAGCGCCAGATCGCTCCGCCCTCTGCGGTGCAGAGCGTTCCCGCGCAGCACGACGCTCGGCCTCGAGGGCCGCCAGCCCCTCAAGGGCCGCCCGACGGTCCCGCCCCAACGACGGCCGAGCTTCCGCCGCCTCCCGCAGAGACCACGCCACCGCCGGCTCCCGCCAGAAGGACGGCCAGTGGCAAAGCTCCTGGGCCCCGCGGGGGCCGCGCCAGTGCAGCTGGCCAACCTGGGCATGCTCCCACGCAGCGGCTTCTAGGAGGCCGCACATCCTGGACCAACACTCTTTAAACGACAGGGCAGTCCTCATCCTGGCGGCGAGAGCGTTGCTTCGGAGACCCTGGACCCGCGGACCACCGAGGGGGTCGAGGTCAAGGAAGCAGGAGGCAGAGAGCCAGGATCCAGGGGCCCGAAACACGCGAGTCAGCAGATCTTTCTCCCGCCGCTGGAGGGACCGAGGGATCTCATATAACTGCGACTTGTATGAGAGCACGCTAAGCGCGCGTTCGTGGTAGAGCGAGACGACGGCAGCAGTGTCAGCGTGGGACCGCGCCAGGGCGGCGACGCGGTGCTCAAGCTTCGCCGCTGGTGCTGCCCACTGCTCTTCACTCTCCGCAGCGGGGCCTACAGCACAGCCGAGGTACTCAAGCGTTGGGCCAACCTTGAATTCAGCCCAGGGTGCACACACGGAGGCCAGCATCTCGGACGTCGGGGCAATGAGATCATCCGACCACGGGGCCCATAGAGGGGTGGCACAGCATTTCGAGGGTTTTAAAGCGAGCCCCGCCAACTTATCGGAGTTCTTGAAAATCCTAGCGAGCTCCCTGAGGCCAGCCTCTCCCCACACCACCGCCCCCACGTCGTCCGCGCACCACCTCCCGACTCCTTTGCCAGCGGCCTCTAGGGCGCGCTCCATATCCGCGCAGAACGGATGAGCAGCTAGGACGAACAGACTGCCAGAGAGAGGATCACCCTGGAGGACCCCAGCGAGGATGAGGAAGAGGAGGCCCCGAGAGCAGTCGGAGCTAACGGCAGCAGCCATAAGATAGTTGGCTCGGATTGCATTCACCAGGGCCTCTGGGGCTCCCCACTGGGACAGGACGGCCCAGAGCCACGAGTGGGCCACAGATGGGAAAGCATGAGCATAGTCATAGGCAAGAAGCAGAGGCGAGGCGAAGTCAGAGGAGGGGTGATTCAGAGCACGCATGCTTGCAATTCTCGCGTGACTGTCGAGCTCAATTAGGTTCTCGAGAAAGTGACGCTCACAGATGAAGCCACGCTGGCTGGGCGCCACTGCCGCTTGCACGGCCCTCTTCAGAGGGTGGTTCAGGGCAGCGCTGATCGCCTTGGCCCCCGTGTTGCGCAGCGACAGAGGGCGCGTGCAGCCAGGGGCTCGCGAGACGCTCGCCATGTCGGCCACCAACGAGCCCTTCGGCAGGAAGATGCTGATCGCGTGGTTGTAGTCCGAGCGCATGGGCAGGCCATCCAGCATCCACACCAAGGCACGGTGGAGAGCCTCAGCGCCGCCAGAGGCCACCGCCCATGCCGCGGCTGAAAGGCCGTCTGGGCCAGGGGCCGCTGGGCGCGCACGGCGGAGCGCCTCCCGCACCGTCGCCACTGCGGGCGGGTGGTAGGCGTCCCAGTCGACCGCGGGAACCCCGAAGCGCTTCAGGTAGGCCGGCTGCTCTCGGGCCCTCTGCTTGGAGAGTGCGGCTGGCGTCGGCGGGCAGAACACCTTGCCCCGGTGCTGGCCCAGCGCTGCGTTGATGTCGGTGGCCTCGGTCAGATCGGCGCCGTCCGTCTCGAGGCGCGCGAGGTAGCGCCGAGCGTTGAAGGGAGCCCAGAGCCGCGCCCGTCGCTTCAGAGCCCGCTGCTGGGCCACGAGCTGGCGCCGACGGCACTCTGCAGGCTCATGCTGGGCTGCCTCCTCAAGGACGCGGCGCCTACCCGCAGCATCCTTCCGCTGGGCGATGTTGTATCTCCTCTGGAACTCCGCGTAGTCGAGGATCTCGACCGAGCGAGACTGCTCCGAGGCCCTGACCAGCTCGCGTGCCCAGGCGTTCTGTGCCACCACCAGCTGCGCCAGCTTCCAGTCTTGGCGCCAGAACGCCCTCGCCAGCTGGCGCCAGATGATGGCGGAGGCACCCTTGGTCCAGCCCTCGGCAACGAGGGTCTCATTCTGGACATCCTTGGCCGCCGCCTGCAGGATCCGCGTGAAGTACTTGTATTCGTCGGGCGGCTCTTGGTGCTGCATGGGGACCATCGCCAGGTACCCGTCAACAAGCTCCTTGAAGCGCGGGCGCTGGACCACGGCGAGGGGAATGGCCGCTGGCGCGTCAGGGCGTCGGCGCCCAGGCGTCCGCCGCAGCAGCGAGACAGCGACCATGGTGTGATCGCTTATCCCGCGGATGTGCAACTCGCGCGCCTCGCCCCGCACTTGGCACGCCTGCCAGCCTTGGCAGAGCTGCCACCGCGGGACCCCCACGAACGCGCGGTCGATGGAGGAGCTGGTGCGCGTGCTGGCGTTCCAGCGCGTTGGCTTGCCTGGCATCATCTCCGCGGCTGCCCGCAGCGCCTCCAGCCATTGCCGCTGGCCAGGGTGGCGGGCCAGACGTGCGGTCTGGCCAGTGGCGGGTGCCGCTTGGGCGCGACCGCTCCACCACGGCTGGGCCGCGTGGCTTGCGCCTGCAGGGGCTGGTCGTCATCCAAGAAGTTGTCTGTCTCGTCGTAGTCGCCGAAGTTGAAGTCGCCCACGACGAAGGTGGAGCGGGTGGCAGGGCACTGGTGTGCCCACGCCAGGTCTTGCCGAAGGCGTTGTGCGACGCGCCGCCGTTGATCAGGTGAAATGTCGCGGTTGTGGATGTTCCAGTGGATGAAGCTGCACGGCTGACTCCCCTGAGTCGAGGGACGAACTTCACCACTGAGCCTGAGGATACGACCAGGGACCATCTCCTCAGGAACAAAATCGCAGGCGTAGCCGTCAGCAGTGGCTGGCACCACCGTGGCCACCCCTCCTGCATCTTCTCGGCCTCCTGTCATGCACGAGGAGAAGCAGCATAACGGTTTACCCAATCGCTCCAGAAGAACCTGCATGCTGTGCTCAGATGCATGCGTCTCCTGCAGCGCCAGCATCATTGGCCCCTTCCAATATCGCAGAATATATGCAAGTTTCTTCTTGATCTTCTTGGTGACATTCTTCCCAGACTGCTTTAGCGCCCGACAGTTCCAGGTCCCCAGATGCACACCGTCACCGTCACCTCCCCATGCGCGCGAGAGAGTGTCAAAGCGTCCACTGCTGCGCCTCTGGCTCCAAGACGCGGTCCACCACCGCCTGCAGGGCGTCCTGCGTCTGGCCGATCGCGCGCACAGCCACCATGTTCCATGAGACCGTCGGCGTGGCACCTGGGGGCGCGATGGAGAGCTTGAGCAGCTGGCGCCACTTGACCGTGATGGCGTTGACCTCCTTGTCGGCGAAGAGTCGCGCTTCGATCGTCTCCTGAAGGGCGGCCTTGATACGCTTGAGGTAGATCTCGTGGGAGATCTGGGACTGGTTGCGGTCGCGGCCCACACTGAGGGGGACGCTTGGACCGTTCGGCAGCACGGCAGCGAACTCCCTCCACGTGGATGGGCCTGTTCGCAGGAGGCCCACGAGCTTCCCCACGCGCCGCGTGGCCAGGCCCACAGCACCCACACAGCGGAGCTTGAAGTGCCTCCCCATCTCCTCGCCCTCCAGCCTTGTCGCCACCGGGGTGAGGTTGTGCAGCTCGGCGTCCACCAGGAGCTGCTGCAGCGCCTGCGCGACCGCCTCCTTCGGGACGTTCGCGCGCGCCACGATGGACAGGATGGTGGGGTCGATGGGCCTGGACCAGCCCGTCTCCAGCATTGGGGCCTGCGGGGTGGCCGACGCCACGACGCCCATCTCTGTGCGGAGATCGGCCATCTCCTGACGAAGGCGGCCGAAGTCTGCCATCCGCTGCTCCATGCTGCCCAGGCGCGAGTCCACCGCGGCGAAGCGGGCGTCGACGGCCTGGGCGAACTCCTGCTGGGTGGACTGGAAGATCTGCGAGAGGTTGTTGGTGGTTGACTGGATCTGCGAGCCGAGGCGGCGCTCCATGTTGGCCAGCATGCTGGAGAGGGTCGCCGTGCCAGAGGCGGCGGCAGTCGCTCCTCCTGCCGCAGGCGGTGGGCCGAAGCGCTGCGCAGCCGCTGCCGCCCAGGCGTCCTGCTCGCCGTGCTGCGGTGGCTGCTGCGACGCGAAGGTCGGCATGAGCTCGAGCGCCTCGACGTCGCCCTCGGAGAGCACCATGCCGCGCAGGGGGCCAGCAGCGGCTCCTCCCTCCGCGGGTCCGCCCGCGCGACTTCCCTGGGCGACGTGCGGCGGGGTAGGGGGCACCACATCCCACCCAGATAGGCGGGCGTCGTGCTGACGACGCGGGCGTGGTGTGGCCTCCTCACTGGCGGCGGCCTGCTGTCGTCGCTCCCTACGGCGTTCGCCACGGCGGCGATGCTCGCTGCGGGAGGTGCTCCTGCTGCCCACGGTGTCGGGCGAGGAGCTGCTGGCCTGCCTGCCGCCGCCGCCGCCGCCAGCACAGCCATCGCCCACATGCGTGCCGTCCCGCGCGGGGCCCATGGCTTCGAAGCAGGTGGCGATCGGGCCGACGGGAACGGGAAAGGCCTCCGTTTACCCCTCGACCCGAGCGCAGGTGCGGTGGCCCAGAGATGACGCCAGACTTCAGGAAGTCTTGCCAGCCGCGGACTAGCGGTATCCGCTTGGTTCCCAGGGGAAGCCTGCATCTTGAGCCAAAATGGCTACGGAGGAGGAGGAGGAGGAGGAGGAGGAGGAGGAGGAGGAGGAGGAAGGGGGAGGAGGGAGAGGAGGAGGGGGGAGAAGAGGAGGAGGAGGAGGAGGAGGAGGAGGAGGAGGAGGAGGAGGGGGAGGAGGGGGAGGAGGAGCGAGGGAGGGCGGAGAAGGAGGAGGGAGGAGGGAGGCTCAGGAGGAGGGAGGGCGGAGGAGGAAAATGAGGAGGAGGGAGGAGGAGGATGGGGGAGGGGGAAGGGGAGGGGGACGAGGCGGAGGAGGAGGAGGAGGAGGCCTTGCAGACGGGCTGCAGCGGATTTCCATGGAGTTCTGCGTGGAGTTTTGCCCGAAGCGGCGAGCGAAAAACGAAGTGAATTCCGCGCGGATCCTTTTTGGTCTTCATTCCTGGCCAAAACAAATGCGCACGAAATTAACCTCGAAATCCGGAAAGAAATTCTCCAGGACACCCTGACCCCACCCTATCGCTTTCCGAACGAAATCCTCTCTGCGATGTTGACGCCATGAGAGGAGGCAGGAGAAGACGGCGGAGGCGAAGGAGCTTCCTCTCCTCTCGGGTCATCCTGCATACTCCCTCACCCTCATCCTCCGTCTCCACCCCCCCCCACTTCCGCCGCAAAATGCGAGACACTTAACTACCAACGGTGCGAAGTCGCACCTTCCCAGGGCTGCCCCCTGTCGATTCGCATTCGAGCCATCTCTCGGACCAGAAAGGATGCTCGCGGCAAGGCAGGAGGAGGAGGAGGAAGGGGAGGGTAGGGAGGAGGCGTCCGTTTACAAGGATCTGGCAGGTCATATGCGGTCCTCTCCCCTTGCTTCCAGCACCTCATGCTCCTGCTCCCTCCGCCTTCATCCCCACTCCTTCACTCCTCCCCCCACCACCTCCTCCGGCGCATCATCATAAACATCATCACCAAAAGCAACATCCTCCCCCTCCCCATCCATCCAGCGTTATCACCATCGTCATCGGCATCATTATCATCATCAGTATCAGCATCACCATCACCATCACCATCATCATCACCGTCAATATTACAATCATCATCATCGTCATCATTATCATCATCATCATCAGCATCATCAGCATCAGCATCATCATCATCATCATCATCATCATCATCATCATCATCATCATCATCATCATCATCATCATCATCATCATCATCACAATCAGCAACATCATCATCAGAGAGAGGGCATGATCCACCGCTGCTTGACTATGGACAATTCCCCCCTATTCCTCCGGAACCTGGGGGTCTCCCCCCCCTTCGAAAATCTCCCCCCCCTGCTAACCCCCCCCTCCCCCGCCCTTCCCTCGGCAAACTCCCCCCCGCCCCCCCCCCAACCCCCCCCCTCCGGAAAACCGGGGGGGGGGTACTACCGGTTCGACCCCCCCCCCCACCCTCCAGAAAACCAGGGGGGTCACTACCGGTTCAAACCCGCCCCCCCCTTCACCGCCTGCAGACGACTCCAGGTCCCCACCATCCTCCGCACCACATCCCCCGCCGCTGTCCACAGAACCACCGTCCCCACCGCCAGTCCCCACTTTCCCCACCACCATCCCCAGTCCCCACCAGTACGCCCACCACTGTCGCACTGTCCCCACTGTCCCCACCACGAGGAGGAGGAGGAGGAGGAGGAGGAGGAGGAGGAGGAGGGAGGAGGAGGAGGAGGAGGAGGAGGAGAGGAGGAGGAGGAGGCCACCACGGTCCCACTCCCCCCACTTTCCCCGCGGCCCCCACCACTGTCCCAGTCCCCACTATCCCCGCTGTCCCACTGCCCCGCCGCCGTCCGACTGAGCTGTCTCACTGTTCCAACTGTCCCCACCATTGTCCCACCACGGTACCACTCTCCCCACTTCCCCACTGTCCCCACTGTTCCCACCAGTGTCCCACTGTCCCCACTGTCCCCGCCGCTTTCCCACTGTGCTGTCCCACTGTCCCCACTGTCACCACCACTGTCCCACAGTCCCCCTGTCCCCACCACTCTCCCCACTGTCCCCACTACTGTCTCAACACAGTCCTCACCACTGCTTTCACCACTGTCCCCACCATTACCGTTCCCACCACTGTCCCACTGTCCCCACCACTGTACCACTGTCCCCACACCACTGTCTCCACCACCACCGTCCTCACCACTGTCCCAGTGTCCCCACCACTGTCTCCCGAGGAGCGGAAATCGTTTACCGGCGGCGAAGGGGGGGGGAGAGGTTCGAACCGGTAGTGACCCCCCCCCTTTTCATGATGGACGGGGGGGGAGGAGGGAAGGGGTCGAACCGGTAGTGACTCCCCCCCCGTTTTCAAAGGGGGGGGGACGGGTTGGGCACCCCCAGTACCCCCCCCCCGGTTTTCCGCCAGCAGCGGTAGAACACGCCCTTTCAATCATCAACATCATCATCATCAGAATCATCAACATCATCATCATCACCATCATCATCATCATCATCATCATCATCATCATCATCATCATCATCATCATCATCATCATCATCATCTTCATCATCAGCATCAGCATCTGCATCAGCATCATCATCAGCATCACCATCAGCACCAGCAGCAGCACCATCATCAGCATCAGCATCAGAACCATCAACATCAGCATCATTATCATAATCATCATCATCGTCATCATCATCACCGTCATCATCATCGTCATCACCGTCATCACCGTCATCATCATCATCATCATCATCATCATCGTCATCATCATCCTCGTCCTCATCCTCATCCTCACCGCAATAGTCATCAGCAGCAGCAGCAGTCATCATCATCATCATCATCATCATCATCATCATCATCATCATCATCATCAGCAGCAGCAGCAGCAGCAGCAGCATCATGATCATCCTTATCCTCCACCTTCTCTTTCTCGGCCTCCTCCTCCTCCTCCTCATCCTCATCTTCCTCGTCCTCGTCCTCGTCCTCAGCCTCCTCAACGTCCTAATCTGACCCGCTGCGGACGTCGGTGCTGCATGGTTTCGGAAGTCCGGATCCTTCGCGCACACCTCCCGCAACTGCCTGGCCTTCTCCCGTCCGCCGGACTCTGGCCCCTCTGCGAGATACGCGATTGCCCAGAACAAGCAGCTGTGATCATTGGGTACTGACCGGCGGACAGCGACAAGAGCCATTCCCGCCGGTGTGACCGTCGGCAGTTGCCCGGGTCGCCGAGAGATGGTGTGAGATCCACCCTTGGGCCCAGATGGCAGCATGCTGCTAATGGGCCACAAAGCCCGCCACCGCGCACGAAAAGGTCTACATGTCTCGACTACTGCGAAGCAGCAGTTAAGGGCCTCGGCGCAGAGAGCCCCTCGCACATTCATGTGCGAACGTGGCAGCATCAGTGCACGCCTTGCCATCCAAGCAGGGGGCGATGCCGAAGTTAGAGTTCTGGACAGGAAGCCCCGTAGCATGTACACCCAGACGCCCGCCCGAGCGCGTGGGTGGACTCGCGCGGCAGCGCAACTGGATGGAACGCCGGTCTGTTGAAACCACCGCACAGCGCACAAGCCACACGATGCGAATGTATTGATACTTGTACACTGTCACCCATCATGCAACTAACTGGCATCCTGGCATGAATACCCGCGGGCCCATATCCTCCTCCGCCTCCTTATCCTCTTCCTCCTCATCCTGCTCACCATCACCATCAAAATACAAATTTTCACACCACCACCACCATCCTCATCACTATCATCAACAAGATCAACATCATCATCGTCATCAGCTTCACCACCACCAGCAACAACCTCAAAATCATCATCATTAGCACCATCATGATCATCATGGTAGTCATCGACATAGCAGACATCCCCCTCCTTTTCCTTTCCCTCCTCCTTCACCTCATCATCATCACCATCGTCATCCCCCTCATCCTCATCCTGATACTAGTCACCATCGTGATCATCAAAGTCATCGTCAGCATCAACATAATCAGGATCGCCAACCTCGCCATCACCATCACAACCATCATCATCATCATCACCACCACCACTATTATCATCATCATCATCATCATCAGCAGCATCATCATAAGCAAAATCATCATCAGCAGCATCATCATCAGCATCAGCATCGTCATCAACATCATTATCACCATCACCACCACCATCATAATCATCATCAGCATCATCATCATCAGTATCATCATCCTCATCACCATCATAATTATCCTCAGCATCATCAGCATCATCAACATCATCACCATCGTCATCGGCACCGTCACCGTCATCGTCATCGGCACTGGCATCATCAGCAGCATCGTCATCATCATCAGCAGCAGCATCATCACAAGCATCATCATCATACTCAACATCATCAGCAGCAACATCGTTCTCGTCCTCCTCCCTCTTCTCATATTCCTTCTCATCCGCATCATCATCATTATCATCAGCATCATCATCATTCGTGTCCATACGTGTTGCTTCCATCTCTCCACCGACATTCCCGCTCTGCCTGCTGCATGTTCGTATTCACGCAGCACTGCGAATACGACAGCAACTAGAACAATGTTAAACGTCCGCGAAAAAACTGTCGCGCTCTGCACCTTGGATGATTCCATGAGAGTGCCCTGGGCCAGTCCCCAGTACATTGCCACAATCTGTGGTTAGGGTTATCTGGTAATGTACATTGCGTAGTGCCATGTTCAAAGGATGTGCATGTTCCAAGCCTGGGGATGCTGATGCAGAAACGTGGAATATGCAAGGAATGTTCCTGGCCCAGCTTCTGTTCCTGCTGGTCCCTTCCGTGTCCTTCTCCTCACCATACCCTTCCGTATCCGTTCGGCTTTCTTCCAGTGTGATGCGTCTCTCTCTCTCTCTCGCTCTCTCCCTCTCTCTCTCTCTCTCTCCACCATCATTATTGCTATGCCTACTGCGAGTTCCTGTTTATATGCCTCCTCCGATGCCCCCTCTTGTTTCACCTACCGCCCCCTCTCCTGACCCACAACTCTCCCTGGTGTTGTTGATGGTGCTGCTGGTACTGGTGGTGTTGCTGCTGCTGGAAGTGAAGGTGCCGAGGTGCCGACAGTGCCGCCGGTGCTGCTATCGCCGCTGATGTCGCTGTCAGCATCATCTCATTCTCGCCGTCGAGAAACACATGCTTTGGCTCCCTCGGGGTCCCCACAGGGGGGGGGGGGCGAGAGGGAAACTACATGGTGGAAGCAGCTGGCGACAAGGGAGGCGATGGCTTGCACACTTCCTCACAGCAGCCGCAAGCTGCGCGGGCCCCCAAGGAAGCAGAGATCACGCCCCCCCCCCAAGAAGGGTGCGCCCTAAGGGCTGCGCACATGCGCGCGGGGAAAGCATACACATGCCGATGTGCCTGTATAGGACCCGTCCGAGTATTCCCCTGCTTCTCCTGCTCCTCCATGCTCCACCGTCTTCGACCTCCCGTTCCACCCCGTACGCGAACGAGGGGCAGAAGTTTTCAGGAGACGGGGCGGGGCAGGTGTGGTGGCAAGTCTATGATTCCATTCCGCCTCGCAACCCCGCCTGCATGCCCTGTGTGCGAGCTCGTAGCGATCATTGACGGCGCGCGGCACAGGAAATGAGAAATGAAAGGCGGAGGACGAGAATGAGGACCTTTCCCAAACCATTCAGCGCACGACTTGTGAGTAATATTACAAATGTGGGGGACTACAAACGACCCCACCAACCCTCGCAAGCCCAAAAATGCCACGGAGCAGCAAGCACCGACGGGTCTGGGTGGGAAGCAGCGCCCGAGACAAACAGAAGGCCCACGCAGCAAAGCCCTGGAGCCTCGTCAACTTCGGCTGGCACCCGAACAGACAGCCAGCCGTCGTTTAGCAATCATTGCTCAGCCGAGAGAAGCGTGTCTCCAATAAGCTTTGCCCCATGGGGACAAAAAAACACCATGGGGCCCCAGAGACTCATGGATCCCTCGGGCCGGCGAAAACTCGAAGCAGTGACAGCACGGAATCTGAGATCCTGGCGCGCACGCTCAGCGGCTGGGGCTGCACAACGGAACTGCTGCCCGCCTCCCGGTTGCTCGCAGGCCTGGCTCGCGCCTGAGAGTGAGTTACGGGGTCGGCTGCGGGCAGGTTGCTCGTCTGCCTCCACTTGGGACGGAGCCCCCGGGGCCCCCGCGGCCGAGAGGGGGGAACCGCTGGCTTCGGCGCCAGAGGGGCAGCCAGAGCAGGGCCAAGGGCCTGGCCCAGCTGTCCCCCCCGTCCCCAGTCTCTCCTCCCGGCCGCGGTGGCAGGCGCTGGGGCTGCTGAAGCCACCGGGGCTGCTGCGGCTCCACCTCTCTGCAGCGCGGGGTGCTCATTGGAGCCATGTGCGACGATTGCAGAAAGCGTGGCCAAGACTTGGAGCATCTTCTGGATGCCTTGCCCTTCGAACGCTGCCTTCAAGTCTGCTGAGTGGATGCCTGGGCATTGCTCGACGTACGCCTCTGGGTGCTCGTTAGCACCTGACATTGGCATGGCAAACTGCTGATCAGGCAACTGCGTTAGCTCTTTACTTTCCCAAGGCTGACTACTACCAGCTTCTTCTCGTGCCAAGACATGCTGCTCCTTCATCAAGATTGCTTGGGAATCTGCAGCTTACTTAGTACGCTGAGGGATAGACGCCTTGTGCCGCTCAACTGTCTGTTGTTGGAAAAGCGTGCGTTTGGAAGCCAATCGGGAAGGGATCTTCTGGGGATTTCGCTCCTGACGTAGAGAATCAAGCATCTGCCTCTGCCTTTCGATGCGCTGAATGTGTTCGGGGTTGTCTGCTCTCTCCTCCACTGCTACCAAGGCCTCCTGCAGGGCCTGAATCGCTAGCCCTGTTATGGGTGTAGCGAGCCCTGCTGCCGAAGGAGGTTCCTCCCTCGCCGCTGACTGGGCAGAAGAAGGCGTTGGCGTCTCATCTGCATGTATCCCATGGCTGCCACACTGCCAACAACATTCGCGACTCAACGAAACCTCTGCAGTACATGAGCCACAGCTCCAACTGTGATCAGCTGGCCGTTCCCAGGACTGGTTCCACGAAGTGACGGATCCTGACTGCGTTTTCCTACCGCTGCTTTTGCTGCCCATATCCTTTTCCACGACATCCACACCCCTTTTTCCGCCACCCTTGTTCCCCTGGTTCTTGCCCCAGTCACCATGCGGGTGCTGGGCTCGCGGTGAGGCGTGAGACCTCGCAAGCTGCTGGGCGGCCTCTGAGATGCGACCAGACGCGCGGAGCGCACGTTCTTTCCTGGACCGCACAGGCTCTGAGGATAAAGAAGTTGTAAAAGAAGAATAATGGTACCTACAGCGAGCGATGGCAAACGAGGCGCCTGAGAGGCTGCCCCCCTAGCACGGGACCCATCCCCAAAGGTAGACTGGGCCAGAGCTTGAAGGTACCCCCTCCTCTCCTCCTCCACTTCCTCCTCCTTCTCAATACATCTTCCTCTTAAACAACTCCTCCCTGTCGCACCCCCAGACGTGTCGGTAGGGCAGGCCAGGCCCCCTGGCCTTCTGAGACGTTTCCTGAGCGTTCCCCGAAGACACAACGAAAACTTCTCAGAAGGCGCGAGGACCTCTGAGAAGTCCCGCCGCCTTCTGACAAGGTCTTCTCCTTCTCACTTCCACCCTCGCTGGCCGCCGAACAGAGGATACGAGCGGCGCAAGCACGACCTCCGACGGGCCGCGGGGAACTCTCGACTCTGCGCTGGCCGCCCCCCCCTTCGGCGAACGGAGCGCGCCAGGGGCTGCGCTGGAGGCGCCGCCAAGGGGGGAGGGGGCCAGCGCAGACCCAAAAGAACTCCCCGCGGCGCCCCAGAAATGTACGTCTATGAATGTGTTGTGTCGGTCTATCTCGGCGATTGGTGACCATTTTGTTTGAATCGGCGATAACCCGGGTTATCCGGGAGGAGCGTCTGAGACTTCTTCACAACATAAAACCATGAAGCTTGAGAATTGCCACAGCATCACAGATGCCGTTTGCAAAACGCCGCTCTCGCCCAGTCAGGTTGAGTCGCGACGCTGAGGTCCCAAGAAAGGTGCTCTGGCACGATTGAAGATTCTCAGACGTTTGTTTTCCAACGGGGCATTTCCCGTAACGACTATAGCATCTTGTAGGGCCCTACGAAGAAGAAACTTGAAAGGACATTGCTGGTGCGTCTTCGGTTTGCACTAGTC